ATGCCCGTCAATGATCTGTTGTTTCCTCCTTTCTTGGTAATTTCTTACATAGCCATTTAAAGTAATGGCTATACATTTAAAAATCTGTTTACATGTCCAAAACACACAGATATGAAGTATTTATGAGATAGCTCATTCCTGAGAATTGCCATGAGATGGAACTCTGTATTCCAGTTCATATTAGTCTTGCTTTTCTTGGCAGCTTCAGAGACTGTACTGCTAGCTTATTGTATTAAGTCAGTACTCTCCCTGCCTCTTCAACTTCCCTTGTGGTAATAATTTTTAATGATTTCCTTGTGAAGATATTGAGTGTACTAAGCCTCTGCACCTGCAGCAGGCGGTTAACTGAAGGGTTTGAGCAGAATGCCCATGTCTTCATAGTTCTCATGGGTATTCTGTGAAGCAAGACAGCTTAATGGCGGGCTATTTAATGGGAATCTCCCCTGCCCTCTTCCATCTCCTACTTTTAAGAAAGTTTCCCAGTTATTATTATATATTCCATATACATATTCATGCTTTTAAGCTATTGTTATATTTCTCATTATTATATGAAGTAGTTTAAGTTCTTTTGTTCTTAAGAACACCATTTCAGTGTTTCGGATCATTACACATTTGTTTCAAATGAGGCTAAATTCTTCCACATTAAAAAAAAAAAGAAAGAGAAGTTGTGAGATCATAAAATGCTAAAGATTGAAGAGAACTTGGAGAGAATCTTGAAATGACATTGCAATAAGAATTTTTTCACATCCCCACAGCCGTTCACAAGACCTCTTTGCTGGACAGCTCATAGTATCAGAAAATATTTTCATCTATTGATTTCAATTCTGCCTTTCTAATAAACCTACCTATCGACTCATTTTTCCCCGTTATGAAAGGCAATAAACAGCTACTTTTGCCTCTCACCTTTGTGTTGAAGGAGGATGGCTGTTCTGTTTCCTTTTGTTTTTTATTAGTTCTTTGAGAAGTTCATGCAATGTGTTTTGACCATATTCACCCCTATTCCTTAGCTTCTCCCAGACTGACCCCTCTTTCTCCATTCTCCCAAATTTGTACCCTCTTTTGTTTTAGAATCCAGTAAGTCCAGTCTGTACTGCTGATATACACTTGGATGTAATCATCTATTGGAGCATGCACAACCTCTCAGGGGCCACACTGTGAAAGAAAAATGACTCCCCCTCCCAGAACCTGTCAATAAACCCTCAGCAATGGGTGGGGTTTCCATGCTAGGATTTAAATGGAGGTAGTATTGAACTGTATTGTATCCTCGTGTACCTAGATTATTGTATCTCTCACCCCTCATCAGGAAAGCTGCTTCTTTTTGCAGTAGACACAGAGATCTGTAAGTGCTCAAGGTGCCAAGACTTCAGAATGATTAGTCCTAAATTTCACATCTATATCATACTACCAGCTCCCAGCACTCGGGAATTATGGAACAGGCAGTAAAAAGGTTGCAAGAACCATAGACAGAGAATGACAACAAGGAAATGTTGTCAATAGGGAAGATGGACACATGAACTTGCACTGGCTGTAACAACTTCTACAAGACCTGCACAAGTTCAAGACCAAGTCATGCTTTGTGTTTCTTTTTGTCACCCTCCGCCCCCAACTCACCATTTACAGCAATTACTGTGTCTGTTCATTCATCGCTTGCTCTTCTGAACACTTCTATGCTGACATTTCTGGATCGAGCATGGTGATCAGTGTGAGAAGCAGCCAGAGATGACAGGCAATAAACAAGAAACCACAATGTTGAGTTCAGTTCATTTCTACCCGTTTCTGAGTAGAGGTGTTTTTGACAGATGGCATCTGAGAGTTCTTAGTGTGCAGACAGAAGGATGACTCTAACAAAATTACAGACTGATAATTTTTATATCTTCTTCATTCTAAATTTATCTTAAGAATCTTTATGGACTACACACTTGAAATATGATGCATTTAATTATCATGATAGTGTCTATTATTTTCTAGGTCATTAATTTTAAACAATTAATGAAAATCTTTGAGGGTTGAAGTAATGAGGAGTAGAATGTGACATTTTATGTGTGATTATTCTCACAAATTTATCTGTCAACAGGAACAATAAAAATGATCTTATACCAAATGTATGGTGCATGATCCTTCCATCTCTTTTGATAATGATATTTCCCTAAGTTAGCGTCCAAAGAAAAACAAAATCACAAAACCTCACAAGCTCAAACAGCTGCAGATCTTTGAGATATTGTCATTGTTTAGTAAATGCTGTAATAATGTATGAGTCATTAAATTTATTTAATCATGAATTTTGGCATTACTCAGTCTTACTATGTGGTGATTTATTTATATACATTCCTTATCAAAAACATATATTCAGTCCAGATTCACATGTATAATATCATTTCACACTGGGGGACCTGACTTGTGATACGGTCAAATTTGCAGAAGCTGAGCCATTCTCAGAAGCTGATGTCCTCAGTAAGTCCCGACACAGCTGTCGGGACAAATCCAGCAGAGAAAGCATCTCAGCCTAGGCTGTACCAGATGGTCCCTCCACCTCAGTGCTGTGAACACAGAGCACTGGCCAGAGCAAGGCCCAGCATCTGTGTGGAGGGAAGTTTCTGGGAAAACAGTCTTTGCAAAGGGAAAGAAAACAAGCAGATGAATTTAGAGTTAGCGAGGAAACTGGGATTATAGACTTGGCCTCAAACTGAGAACAGGCGTGCTATGCCTCCCTCAGGCTCCTCCTGCCTTGTGATTTTGCTGAGGGGACATAGAGGGGTTGCTGTCAGTACTGTGTGAGAGTGTCTACTCTAAACACGCTCAACAGTGACTCCCAGGAAAAGCATGGACTGTTTCTGGAATTCATGCTTTGGCCATAATAATGCAAGCTCCGTAGATCCATTCCATCGACTGCGGAGCCCAGCACATGCTGAGAGAGGTAGCCTGTGACGCTTGGAGAAGAGAGTAATGATAAGCACTTTGCAAACAGCACGGTCGAGGCTTAACTCTCAATTCTGTGTGGTTTCTGGCTGTGCAGCATAGGGCAGGTTGCTAAATCATTCTGAAATGATGTCCCTTTATCCATTAATTGAGGGGAACAATGATTTTTTTTTTCATCTGTTGTTGGTGACATTTGGGAAGCACTAGGGAGAATTTTAAGCATAAATTCATGCAGCATTTCTTGACTTTCAGCCCTTTGAAAGATGTGACTAATGTGGAAAGAATATATCTAAATAGGTCATGACACCAAATAACGTTTATTAACAAATGAGCATTTAAATACAGAGACAATAGCAACCTCTTATACTCAGGTTTTTCTGAAGTTCATTACACACATGTATGTGTGCATATATTTCTATCAGTTTCTCTGATAAGCTAGAAGACAGTTTGGAATTCATGTACACTAGTTACAAGTTTAATTGAGGTATACTGCACAAATTTAATCTTTTTCATCTGTTTCTTTGAACTGATATGAGAGTGAATACATCTCTTGAGTGTCCCCACCCCCCCAACCCCAGTGAGCCTTTCGGGTTTTATCCATAACTACACGGTAGGCAATTCAAAGAAATAAAAATGGTTCAAGATAGATGAGAAAATTCTTGATCTTATCTGGCAATAATGATACTACAATGATTCTACAGTACTTTATAGTGAGTTAAAAGGCAATATTGATTTATTCAAGTTTTTCCTCTTGTGTAGGTTTTGTAGCAAAGGTTGCAGGTCCCTGACGACTGGGAAAGTCTGCTTATGGTGGAGATCAGATAGTGGTAAGAGGCAGGATGTTTTCCCCAGATGAACTGAAAATGCGTGCAATGCAGCCAGCAGAATAATACCCGAGGAGAGAAAGTGGAAGGGAAATGCTCCCTTCTCATCAGAAGACAATAATGAGGGGTGATAAGGAACAGAGAGACCTGGGGGGACAGTGAATAGAAAGATCTGTGGGCAGCAGTCAGTAATGTAGAGCCAAAGACGATATACTTGAATGTCACCAACTCTAGGAGCGTAGAGGAGAGGGTGCTCTAGAAACTCACCGTGTTAAAGAAATCACTACATCACACCATGCTGGCTGCTTAGGCCCTGCTCTTCTCTTGAAATAAATTCAACAGCACTTCCATATTCTGACTACGTAGGTCAGGGGGGCGGGGCTTACTTATGTCACCTAAGGTACATACATGCACTTGGAATTTTATCAAGATTTGTAAAAGTGCTGTAAGTACCCTTATTGTATCTTTGTTCTAGAGATTTACAGTATGTAAACAACTATCTGCTTCCCTTGACTCGATTTTCCTATGTAATACTCTTCCCTCTTACACAGTGTTTATGCAAATGCAAGGATGGTGAGCTGCCACCCATACCACTTTGCTAGCTGAATTCCTCGAAAGCCTTCTTTCATGTTAATTCTAAATACAACTCTGCAAATCTGCTCCGGTTAAATGGTGTAGAATGAGAGGAAATTAAGCAAACGCTCTGACTAGTGTGGCTTTCATTTCAAGGAAAAAGAAAACCCCTACGCTTGAGCATTGCTTTCCATAGGACTAGTTACGTCTGCTCACGTGGGTGACTTTTCACGTTGAAGTCATGTACCAGGCAGGCACTGCCTCCATCCCTAGCCCTTGTTATATTCTTAGTAGGGGTTGCTTATTCATCAAGACCAACCAGTATTTACTCAACATTGATACTGGAGCAACATGTGCATAGGCTTATTAACATACACTTACGCCAATAAGGAAGATAGGAATCACAGGGAGCTATGACTTACATAGTGAGAAATCAAATCTTAGGTGGTTCTGGAAGACACAGGGGGATCCATGGCTCCTTGCTGCCTGCCTCCTGACTCTTGTCTTTGTGACCTGTGCTATCTGTGCCTTTGAGATGTGCTTAGTAACAATGCTTAGGGGTAAAATGTAATCAATATATACTTAAGACCTCAGAAATCTACCAGACCAGACTGTAGGGCATTTTTTTCCCCCTTCCCATCATCTCGTAGAAAGTACACTGTATATCTTCATGTCTCCCCTGGATATTCACCTTGATCTGTGTTTCCACAACACCCTCTTCACAGCACCCTTGATCTCAGCGTTCCTCAGGCTGTAGATCAGGGGGTTCAGCATGGGGTTGAAAAGGCTGTAAAACAGGGAAAGAATCTTCTGCTGCTCCTCGGGGTGCTGGGACTTGGGGGCCATGTACATGACGATGGCGCTGCCGAAGAAGAGCCCAACCACACAGAGGTGGGAGGAGCAGGTGGAGAAGGCCTTTCTGCGGCCCTGGCCTGACTGCATCCTCAGGATGGCCACCAGGATGCGGGTGTAGGAGACCAGCACCAAGCATAAGGGCCCCACTAGGACGAACACAGAAGCTGCAAAGATGACGACTTTGTTGAGTGTTGTGTCAGCACAGGCCAGCTTGAGGACAGACAGGATTTCACAGAAGAAGTGATTGATTTGGTGGGGCCCACAGAAGGGCAGCCTCAGGATGAGGATTACATGGACCAGAGCTAGGAGGGAGCCACATGTCCAGGAAACAACAGCCATTAGGGTACATGCTTTCCGGCCCATAATGACAGAGTATTGCAAGGGGTGGCAGATGGCCACATACCGATCATAGGACATCATAACCAGGATGAGACACTCAGTATGAGCAAAAGCCATGTATAAAAATGTCTGCATTATGCACGGGACAAAAGAAATAGTTTTTTTCTTGTCAAGAAGGTTTGCCAACATCTTGGGGACATTGTTGGAAGCATATGAAATGTCGACAACGGCCAGATGGGACAGGAAGATGTACATAGGGGTGTGCAGTCTGGAGTCCAGCCAGATGAGGCCCAGAATGACTCCGTTCCCCAGCAGTGTGAAAGTGTAGCACACGGAGAAGAGGCCACAGAGAAGCATCCTCATCCTTGGGCCCAGTGAAAATCCCTGCAGGATAAACTCTGGGATCCATGTCTGGTTCTCCGTCATTCCCTCGCGATAGTCCCTGTGATGGTGACTGCCGTGGGCAGTGAAGTGCGTGCTGAGGAGCAAAGGCAGATGTGGATTAGTGGTTACGTAAGTACACCATGTGTCTTCTCAGCCAGCCATCACTTTCAGAGTCATTATGTTAAATGTTTAATCCATAGCAACAAAGAATGCAGATCCATCACAGGTAACACATAGATATGATCAGAGGCTTTCATATGGTATTTCCATTTCTGCATTGAGTTTTGATCACAAGGTACACAGTGTTATTATCATGGTGACAGGCAGAGTTTTTATTTTTCAGGATAACCATTTTACTTTTTGAAAGGACATCATGGCCATATATCATGTATTTTGCTGTCTATTAAGTTTTTATATTTTGTTTCTGTATTCCCAGCTAAGACTTCCCTATTTTATGAGTTATGCAGAGTCCATTGCACAAAGACACGATTAAAGAGTAAGTATGTAGCCCACACAATTTAGTGCCGAATACAGTGGGTGGATCAGTGGATTGATGGATGACAATGGGTGGATGGATGGCATTAATGGGGTTTGTCTTGCATTAAGAATAAAGTGAGAAGGATGTACAGCACACTATTCAAGTTTTCCAACTTTCTCTCTCATTTCGATCCCCCCAATATATTTATATGAATCACAGTAATGAAAAGATCAAATGTTCCGTACAAATATAGAAATACTAAATGATCAAGGGGTCACTCCCAATGTGCAGTTTATGACTCTGTGTCTGAAAATGCCAACTCCACCTTAAGCACAGAACACTCGGTGCTGAGAATTTGACCCTGGGTTTCCCATTCAGTGCACTGATTTCTGAAGCCATTCTCTCCTTCAGACCCAGCCTCACTAAACGGCTGCACTTTGCAAAAGACCCATTACTCACTGTGATACCAGCGCTGGTCTTGCTTCAGAAAGGTAATCACATTTATAGGAAGTGCACTGAGATCGCAGGAGATCTGAATGTTAGGTTTGAGATTCTTACTTTTTCTGGTGGCTACTGCCAAAAGACTTCTCGCACATAAAAATTCTCACTATTCTGTTGGTGAGGACTGATGCGGGGTCTTGGGCCTGCAGGGTTGTGAGAACACCCACAGGGTAGGTTTTATGGTGAGTTCATCTTAACCAAGCCATCCCTGATTACCTCCAAGGGTCCCCAAGGAGACAGTGATTCACAAAGCTCATGTTTAATGTGTATCAGGAGAACAAAATGCTGTTTATCATCCCGCCTTCATTTCTATGGGCTTTGGGGATGGTTGTTTAGAGGAAAGAGCTGCAGGTGATGATGTAATGCCCAACTATATCAATACAGAGAACTTCTTCCAGTAAGGGGAACATGCATACTCTTGGGACCATGCTACAGATTACACTCCTAGGTGGCAATGAATTCATGAGTCCTTGTCTTGCCTCAAAATGGGTCTACAAGTAGGGCTTCAAAAAGTCAGAATATGCATTAACTTTATGCTTACTACTCCTGAGATAATTCCAACTTGCATTTTTGATAGATATAAAAAATAAGCAAAACACATATACTGACCATCCCACACTGTGATATATATATATATATATATATATATATATATATATATATATATATATCTCCATCCATCCATCCTTGGCCATTCCATATAGTGATGTGGAAAGAAAAGAAAGTAAGAAGCCAAAGTAAAGCTGTGTGTGTGTGTGTGTGTGTGTGTGTGTGTGTTTGTGTGTGTGTTGGTCAGGTGAAGTTTTGTAGAGAAATAACCAAGATCCACTAATCAGAATAAGGTTCATTCTTTAGTAGAGAGAGGTTCATGTAGTAGATTCTGGGACACAATCTAGGCTGATGATGTTCATTCGGGGAGAAATCACACCAGAAATAGATGAAGGCTTCAGGTTCCTGCTCCAAGGATGCTCTCTGTCTCTGAGCAGGAAGTAGAAGAGAGAGCTAGGGTCTGGGACCCCAGACGTAGCCCCCGAAGGTCTCCTCAGCACAACCACTGCAGACAGTGTGGATATCTCACTACAGACACACGCTGCTAATCTGTGAGTCACGTGGTCTACTAACAATAAGGAAGCGGAGGAACTACATCTGTCACTTTGTGTCTCAGCAATAAAGAGCACATGTAAAGGTTAAGTTTTAAGAAAGGTATGTGTTTGAACATGATGGATAAGATGTTTGTGAGACAAGTAATTAGCTGTACTATTGTAGAGTTCATTAAATATACCTGGGTAAAAGATATGTGTTGGGGATATGTCGTTTGATAATGCCTTGGTAACAAGTAATATAAATTAAAGATGACGCAGAAGGCAAAAGGGAGGACGTGAAGATCATATTAGTACGACTAGTGGTTTAGAGATGTGAAACAAAATGATCACCTCAGTCATGAGAACTTTTGATGCCTTTTTTTTTTTTCATGGACAAAGTTATGCATCGTGGCTAATGGTTATTTTAATTTTACAAGTTTATTTTAAAAACTTACAAGTAAAGATTGCATACAACTCAAGCTCCCAAGGCTCAGAGGTCACTAAAGAGGGGACAGAAAGACTAAAATCCAGAGATCAGGGAGCTCCTGTGAGATTATGTCTCCCAGAAATGTCAGACTTACCTGTCCAGTCCTCATCATTTGAGCTAGACCTCATAAGATGCATTGTCTATTACATAGAAATGCTGAGTGGCCATGATGGATAAATTCCATTGGCGTATACTAGAAAGTTCTGGTTTAAACTTGTACACTCTCTTCAGTATATACTCTGTATGTATGCTTGTTTCGCTCTTTTCCTTGACCTGAGTTCATGTTTATTTCTGGAAATACAATCCCCCACTTTAGGAGCTTAATAAAGAATTGTAACAGGAACATAGGCTCACCGCTTAGAGTCTGCCAGGAACTGGGCTGGGAAATTTTAGCTGAGTTCTATGCAACAGTTTGAAAACACATGTTCAAAATGGAATGGATGCATGTGGATGAGGAAGTTAAGAATCCAAGCGACTAAAGGAATCCCAAACCTTGAACTTAAGCATGAGTAACTCTAAATCCCAGGCCTTTAACTACCACCTTGTTCTTCATCTGGTGTGCTGCTCTGTGAGAGCCCCAGAGACACGTACGAGCCATATGGCTAGACACTCTGCAGTCTGCTCAGCTTCAATAACCCTTGTGTTTATTACACAGAGCATCTTGTGAAGTGTTCCAGCATACATGCTTGTGGTAGAAAAAAAAATGAAAATTATCACTCAGAACTGAATTTGTTAACTTTACAGATGTTTTTCTTTTTCCAAATTAATTTTTATTTGAATTAAAGCAATCTTATTTTACATACCAACCCCAGTTCCCTCTTCCTCCAGTCTCCCCATCCCCTTTACCATCTCCCCATCTCACCCCATCCACTCCTCAGGGAGGGTGAGGCCTCTCATGGGGGGTCATCAAAGTCTGTCACATCATTTGGGGCAGGACTGAGCCCTCCCCCCAAATCTAGACTGAGAGAGTATCCCTCCATAAAGAATGGGCTCCAAAAGCCCATTCATGCACTAGGGATAAATATTGGATCCACTGCCAGTGGCCCCATACACTGCCCTTCCTCATGAATATTGATACAAAAATACTCAATAAAATTCTGGCTGTCAAATGAACCCAAGAACACATCAGAAAAATCATCTACCATGATCAAGTAGGCTGTATCCCAGAGATTCAGGGATGGTTCAACATACAAAAATCTGTCAATGGAATCCACCATATAGACAAACTAAAAAGAAAAACCACAAGATCATCTCATTAAATGCTGAAAAAAGCCTTTGACAAAATCTAACACCCCTTCATGATAAAACTCTTGGAGAGATCATGGATAAAAGTAACATACTTAAATGTGATAAGGGCAATATATAGCAAGCCAACAGCCAACATCACATTAAATGGAGAGGAACTCAACGTGATTCCTCTAAAATCAGGACTCAGATAAGGGTGTTCACTCTCTATTCAGGAAACTCCTACAGCTGATAAACACTTCTTTTGTTTGTTTGTTTTTCAAGACAGGATTTCTCTGTATTGCTTTGGGACTTGTACAGGAACTACCTCTGGCCTCAAACTCAAAGAGATCCACCTGCCTCTGCCTCCAAGTGCTGGGATTAAATGTGCCCCACCACACCTGGCCTGATAAACACCTTAAGTAAAGTGGCAGGATACAAGATTAACCACCCGCTATGCTCTTGGATAGGTATAATCAACACAGGAAAAATGGCAACCTTACCAAAAGCAAGCTACAGATTGAGCAAAATCCTAACTTTACAGATTTTTAACAATAGTATTCATAATGTGTTTAGCATTTCCTATTATGCTTACCACTTAACCATAATGATCTAGGTAATCTACCAATGCATATAAATACAATAATATCTCACTATGGGAACAAAACATAATTAACTGAGTTATTTCTTAGTTAAAATTTTTCCATGTAATAAACAATAACACTTTTTGTGAATAAATATTGTTTTTGTATCTTGACTTAACTGTTTAATTTTCATATTGGTACCTATTGAGTAAAACTAGAAACACATTCATATTCATGACTCTAGGTAGAGGAAGAGATCACAAGTCTTATTTTGTTGTTTACTACTTGTATGACTTTGGGTAAATGTCTAAGATATCTGAATCATTTCTTCCTCTGCGAACTGGGCACAATATCAACCAGTATTGGAAGTCTTAATTAGAGCAAGATGGAAGGATAAATAGACAGTTACTACACCACACTATAACCCTGTACTTTCAAAAGATCAATTTAACTTTCTTTTCAACCTTTAAAAATAATTTATGCATATGAGTGTCTGCCTGAATGAATATTTATGCACCCTGCGAATGCCTGTTGCTTGTGAAGGTAAGAAGAAGTCATCAGATCCCTAGTAACTGGCATTACAGGTAGTTATGAACTGACAAGTAGGTGCAGGGAACTGAACTCAGGTCATCTATAAGAGCACCAAGTGATTTTGACTGCCGAGCCATTGCTCGACCCTCTGCTTT